TACCCTCACTGGTCTTCCAGCCTCTACTAACAGTCTCCTTGCCACCTTTTTAGCCTCTGCCTACTGCCTGACCCCCAAACCACTATTTTAGGTTTTTGTTGCAGCAGCAACCAGATTCCTGTTTCAGTTATCTTATTAGTTATTTTGCTGCATAGCAAAATACCCTAAACCATCTTATTTTTGTTTAGGGACTTTAAAACAATAATCATTTATTATTTCTTATCATTGTGCAGTTTGGCATTCTGGACAGTTTTGCCGGTCTCACCTAGACTCTGGGCTGCTGGTCATATGACTCCTTCCAAGTGGAAGCCAAGCTGGCCTGGAAAGTCCAAGATGACCTTACGACATTTCTGAGAATGTCATGCTGTCTGTCAGCTAAGAAACTTCGTTTTTCCTGTATGAGGTCCCACATTCTCTAGTAAGCTAAACTGGGCGTCTTCACAGCATGATGATCAAGGCCAACCCAGGTCCCAGACAGTGGAGAAATAGGCTTATTTCCTGATGTAGTGATTGCAAGGTCACATTACACAGGGACACAGACACAGAGAGGCATGATTCATTGAAGGTCATTATTATAATACCCTATTACATTCATTCAGCCCTATGTAAAATGGGCAATTGCTGCGTCTGTCATGATTGAGAAGTTGGTCACAGCAGCCAGCCCCAAAACAACACTGCTCCTGCTTAGTTTTATGCCAGTAAAATGGATGATCTATGTCCTGCCTCTTTTACCAAGTAACTCATTTCTGTGCCAGTGTCATGTGATATATCTGATTGGCATAATTAACATCCGTACCCAGCAGCAAGGAAGCTGGAAATGATGTTTTTGGATTCTTCATTAAGATGGAAAGATTTCTACAGTAGGTAACTATCAAAATATGAAGAAGGTATTCAAAAGATTCCAATTAGTCACAAATGACAGATGTCTGCTACCTACCAGATCCTTCAGTAAAGTGTAAAACCCTTTTATGATCTTAAGTGGCGGTGTTGTGGAAAATAAAGGAAAAGAGCTGTAAGTGGAATTGAGGCTTATCACACATTTACCTGATGCTCAATCAGAGGGAACAACATGCTGTTGAAAGTCTGTGCCCAAGAAGCCCAGAAAATGGCAGCAAAGTGGTCCACAGGCAACTTGGAGCAGCAGAGAGAGTACAGGATTCCAGACTAACAACATACTAGAGAAAGGTGACCCATGTTAAAAAATAATTTTCATAAAGGATACAGTCATAACTCTCAATAAAATATAAAATGAACACATACTTCACTTAACTCATCAATCAGGAATACAGTAAAATGTTAACAAACAAAAATACTAGGGATTTTTTCTGGTGGTCCAGTGGTTAGGACTCCGTGTTTTCCCTGCCGTGGGCCCGGGTTCAATCCCTGGTCGGATACTAAGATCCTGAAAGCTGCGTGACACAGCCAAAGAAAGAAAGAAAGAAAGAAAGAAAACCTAACTAAAAACAGTTCAAAGGCTAATCCAAAGAGCAGACACAGATATAGGCAATCAGGAATGCTGAAATTAGTTAACTAATAGACACAAAACTGACCAATATCCACAGGGCAGTAACTAATTGTATCTCCATTGGACAAATTTATTTGCATCTGTATGGACAAGAATAGTTTGCAGTACTGTCAGTTTTATTTAATTTACAAAGTTGTGAAATAGCTCAAAGATAATGAAAGGCAAAAATATCTGTAAAGTCTAACTTAGAGGTTACAATATACAATGCCTAATTTTCCATTGAAAATGCCACCAGTAAACGTTTGCTCACTTTAAAGTTTTTCACAGTTTTTTCTGACCTTTTAAAGGGAGAGAAAAATTGATTCTGGAGCTACATTGATCCACGTTTGCCTGTCATTTGCACAATTAAACATATTAAGAAAAAAACAGGGAATTCCATTTCAAATTAAAATTTACAAAGTCTTGAGAGACATTGCTTCTACTCTACTGGTAAGAACAAGATATTAGCCAGAAAATCATAGTTTTAAGAAACGTATAAGAACACCTGAAATTAATATAATGTTGTATGTCAATTCCACCTCAATTAAAATACATATTTATCAGAGAACTAAGAACACCCTCCCCTCTAAAAGAAACCCTTTAAGTTAACCAAATTGTAGAAAGTGATAAGCCCATTCTAGAAAAGATGAGACCCACAGCTGCTTTAATTACTAGCAGACCAGAGGAAGAAAGAGAAATCCACAGATCAGATTGATTCAGTCAACCAGACTAGTAGCCTAACAGAGGAAACAACACAATTTACTTCAGACTCTACACAAAATGTTTGGCATACAATAAAAAAATTACAAGACACATAAAGAAGCAAGATGTGACCCAAGGTCAAGAGAGAATGTAGTCAACAGAGCAAACTCAAAGTTGAAACTATAGACCAGAGACAGGAACTTTAAGGTAACTGTGTTAAACATGTTCAGTGATTTGGTGGACAAATTAGATAATATGCATGAATAATGGATAACTTCTTCAGAGATGGAACCTATAAAAAAGAACTTATTGTACAGGACTTCCCTGGTGGTCCAGTGATTAAGAATCCACTTTCCAATGCAAGGGACGCGGGTTCGATCCCTGGCTGGGGAACTAAGATCCCACATGCCGCGGGGCAACAAAGCCCACACGCTTTAGAGCCCATGCACCACAACTAGAGAGCCTCGTGTGCTGCAACTACTGAGCCCGTGTACTCTGGAGCCCACGCGCCACAACTAGAGAGTCTGCACACTGCAACTACTGAGCCATTGCTCTATAGAGCCTGCGCGCCACAATCAGAGAAGCCCGTACACCGCAATGAAAGATCCTGCATGCTGCAACTAAGCCCCGACGCAGCCAGCTAAATAAAGAACTTATTGTAAACACCTGAAATAAAAAATATGAAATATCAATCTGATGGGCTCAACAGAAGTGTGCACATAGCAGAGGAAAGGATCAACTCAAATACAGGTGAAAACACAAAAAGAAAAAAGAGCGAACAAAATGGAACAGTGAATCCAAGAGTCTTTGGGCAGCAACAGATGGTCTAACATATATGTATTGTATCCCCATAAGAAAGGGAGAAATAATGGGGGAAAAGAAGTATATGAGGAGATAGTGGTCAAGAATTTTCTAAGGAGAGTCTGGGTTGGTGAACACGTGGAGATTCAGGGAGAGTGGACCCCTGGCTAGAGCCTGGAAGTTTCTTGCACCTTCCCACATACTTTGTCCTATGCATCTCTATCATCTGGCTATTCCTGAGTTATATCCTTTTAAAATTAACTGGTAATCTTATTACGTGGCTATGGAGACAAAACTCCCCTAACTTGGCTGGGAAGATTGCTTTCCAGAGGCATTGCACTCCTTGGTATTTCCTTCTTTGCACTTCCTGCCAGCAGTCTTGGCTCAGGTTTTGCACTAAAGTACAAGAATAGCATGACCAAAAACACTTTGAGAAAAGAAGGAACTTAGCTGCCAACCTTATACAGAACCAAGTTTTCCAACCTGTGAATGCAGAAGTTATCATGGGTTTCTTGCATCCATTCAGGCACCAAGTCCTGTCTACATATAGAAATGACAATACATCTAACACATATCTAGACTACTTGCTCTCAGAGGAATGGAGATACTGTTGTCATAAATAAAGTTCAAATTTATTTAAAATCCTTAAAAAATATTTTTTCTAAAATTAATTTTTAAAAAGACCCCACAGATCCAAGAAACTCAGTAAAACTTAACATGATAAATACAAAGAAAACACACCTAAGAACATATTGTCCAATTGCTGGAAACAAAATAAAACAAAAAACCAAAACAAAACAAAAGAAAAAAACAAGAAGATCTTAAAAACAAAGTAGAAACAAAGACATCATTTACAGGGGAACAAAATATGAATTATGACTGATTTCTTATCAAAAACAATAAGCGCCAGAAGACAATGGAATAGCATCTTTAAAATGGGGAGGGAAGGGAAACTTTCAATCCAGAATTCAAAAAATATAAAAATGAAGTCAAAATAAAGCAGACAAAGGCTGATAGGATTTGTGTCCAATAGGTTTGCACTATAAGAAATGCTAAGAAAAATTACTCAGTCTAAAAGCTGAGGAAAATGTTATCAGATGGAATCCTGGATCTCCAAGATAGAATTTAGAGCACCAGAAACAATAAATATCTAGGCAAATATAAAATGCCATTTTAAATTAAATATATTGCTATTATACTTGCTATAAATTATATCTATATCCCATGATATATTGCTATACTTTTTGCTTTAAATATATGTAAAGCCATATATCATTGTTATTCTTTTTGCTTTAAATATATTTACATATATTTAAAGCAAAAAGTAGAGCAATATATTGTAGAAGTAACACATATAACAATAAAAGCACAAAAGACAGGGATAGTAAATAGAATTACACAGTTGTAAAATTCCCCCATTGTTGGTTAAACAGTAAAATATTATTTGAAGTTAGAGTTAAATTAAAAATGAATATTTTAATCTCTAGAGCAACCACTAAAAAATAACACTAAAGAGGTGTAGCTAAAAATGTTAATAGATTAGAAAGAATGAAATATTAAATACTAATTGATATCACCCAAAAGAAGGCAAAAAAAGAGAAACAGAGAAACATAAAATAACTAAAACAAATAGAAACTAAATGATGAAATGATAAACTTAAACCCAACCATATCAATAATTACATTAAGTTCAAACGAACTAAACATGCCAATTAAAAGCTAGAGGTTGTCAGACGAGGGTGGCGGGGGGCAGAGGCGGTGGAAGGAAACCCAACTCTATGCTATTTACAAGAAACACATTTTAAATAAAACATATTCACAAAAAGTCTACAAGAATAATCATAGCAGTCTTATTCATAATAGTCTCCAAACTGGAAACAACCTAAATGCCTATTGAAACAGTTACCCACTGCCGCATAACAAGTTACCTGGAAATTTAGTGGATTAAAACAACATTTATTATCTCACAGTTTCTGTGGATAAAGAATCTCACCAAAAAGAAGTCGTCTTTTCTCTTACAAGGCTTCAATGAAGGTGTTGATTTGGGCTGCCATCATCTCAAGGCTTGACCTGGGGAAGGATCCATGTCCAAGCTTATTCTCATGGTTGTTGGCAAGATTCAGTTCCTCACAGGCTGTTGGAATGACGGCCAGAGTTCCTCACTGGCTGCTGGTGGGAGGTCTCCCTCAGTTCCTTGCCATGTAGACTTCTCCATAGGGTAGCTTACAACATGGCAGCTTGCTTCTTTAAAGCAAGCAAGAAAGAAAAACTAGAGAGAGACATGGAAGTCAAGTCCTTTATACCCAACTCTTAGAAGCAACATTCCACCACATTTGTTATATTCTTTTCATTAGAAGAAAATCACGAGGTCCAACCCACACTTGAAGGGAGGGGATTCCACAAGACTATGAATATCAAGACGTGAGGATCACTGGGAACCATGCCAGAAGCTGCCTACCACATCTATCCATGGAAAATAGAGTAAAAAAAAATTTTATTGGAGTATAATTGCTTTACAATGCTGTGTTAGTTTCTACTGTACAATGAAGTGAATCAGCTGTACGTATACATATAGCCCCTCCCTCTTGGACCTCCTCTCCCCACCCCACCCATCTAGGTCATCACAGAGCACCAAGCTGAGCTCCCTGTGCTATACAGCAGGTTCCCACTAGCTATCTACTTTACACATGGTAGTGTATTTATGTCAAAACTATTTTCCTAATTCATCCCACCCTCCCCTTTCCCCTGTGTTCACATGTCCATTCTCTTCATCTGCATTTCTATTCTTGCCCTGCCAACAGGTTCATCTGTACCATTTTTCTAGATTCCACATATATGCATTAATACACAGTATTTGTTTTTCTCTTTCTGATTTACTTCACTCCGTACGACAGGCTCTAGGTCCATCCACACCTCTACAAATGACCCAATTTCATTTCTTTTTATGGCTGAGTAATATTCCATGATATATATGTACCATGTCTTCTTTATCCATTCATCTGTTGATGGACACTTAGATTGCTTCCATGTCCTGGCTATTGTAAATAGTGCTGCAATGAACATTGGGGTACATGTGTCTTTTTGAATTACGGTTTTCTCAGAGTATATGCCTAGTAGTGGGATTGCTGGGTCATGTGGTAGTTCTATTTTTAGCTTTTTAAAGAACCTCCATACTGTTCTCCACACTGGCTGTATCAATTTATATTCCCACCAACATTACAGGAGGGTTCCCTTTTCTCCACACCCTCTCCAGCATTTATTGTTTGTAGATTTTTTGATGATGGCCATTCTGACCAGTGTGAGGTGATACCTTACTGTAGTTTTGATTTGCATTTCTCTAATGATTAGTGATATTGAGCACCTTTTCATGTGTTTGTTGGCCATCTGTATGTCTTCTTTGGTGAAATGTCTATTTAGGTCTTCCACTCATTTTTTGATTGTTTTCTTGATATGGAGCTGCATGAGCTGTTTGTGTATTTTGGAGATTAATCCTTTGTCCGTTACTTCATTTGCAAATATTTTCTCCCATTCTGAGGGTTGTCTTTTCATCTTGTTTATGGTTTCCTTTGCTGTGCAAAAGATTTTAAGTTTAATTAGGTCCCATTTGCTTATTTTTGTTTTTATTTTCATTACTCTAGAAGGTGGGTCATAAAAAATCTTGCTGTGATTTATGTCAAAGAGTGTTTTCCTCTAAGAGTTTTATAGTGTCTAGTCTTACATTTAGGTCTTTAATTCATTTTGAGTTTATTTTTGTGTTAGGTAGTGTTCTAATTTCATTCTTTTACATGTAGTTGTCCAGTTTTCCCAGCACCATTTATTGAAGAGGCTGCCTTTTCTCCACTGAATATTCTTGCCTCATTTGTCACAGATTAGGTGACCACAGGTGCATGGGTTTACCTCTGGGCTTTCTATCCTGTACCATTGATCTGTATTTCTGTTTCTGTGCCAGTACCATATTGTCTCTTTTTTTTTTTTTTTTTTTTTTTGGCTGTGCCAGGTCTTAGTTGCAGCACATGGGATCTTTTAGTTGTGGCATGTGGACTCTTAGTTGTGCATGCATGTGGGATCTAGTTCCCTGACCAGGGATCAAATCTGGGCCCTTGCATTGGTAGTGCAAAGTCATAACCACTGGACTGCCAGGAAAGTCCCAGTACCATACTGTCTTGATTACTGTAGCTTTGTAGTATAGTCTGAAGTTGGAGAGCCTGATTCCTCCAGCTCCATTTTCCTTTCTCAAGATTGCTTTGGCTGTTCAGGGTCTTCTGTGTTTCTATACAACCTGTAAAATTTGTTTTTCTAATTCTGTGAAATATGTCATTGGTAATTTGTTAGGGATTGCATTGAAACTGTAGATTGCCTTGGGTAGTATAGTCATTTTCACAATACTGATTGAAAATAGATTTTTAAATTGTATTATTTTCGTACAATGGAATACTACTCAGTAATAAAAAAGAACAAACTACTGATATACACAGAAACATAGATGAATCTCAAAAATTTTACTCAGTTATGTTGAGCAAAAGAAAATAGCTGCAAAAGAATATACACTATAGGATTCCATTTATATGATATCCTAAAACAGGTAAAACTCATCTGTGATGACAGAAATTAGAACAATGTTTAACGCAGGATGTTTGAAGGGTATTGCCTGGAAATGAGCATCAGGAAGAATTCTGCAGAGCTGAAAATGTTCTGTGTCTTGTTTTGTCAAGACTCCTTGAAGAAGACATCTAAGGTCTGAGCATTTTATGTAAATTATACTTCCATTAAAAGAATAATAGAGCAAAAATAAACATACGTCTTTAAAAAGTAATCTAGGACTTCCTTGGTGGTGCAGTGGTTAAGAATCTGCCTGCCAATGCAAGGGACGCAGGTTCGAGCCTTGGTCTGGGAAGATCCCACATGCCGTGGAGCAACTAAACCCATGCACCATAACTACTGAGCCTGTGCTCTAGAGCCCAAGAGCCACAACTACTGAGGCCGCATGCCTCAACTATTGAAGCCCGCACACCTAGAGCCCATGCTCTGCAACAAGAGAAGCCTCCACAATGAGAAGCCCATGTACCACAATGAAGAGTAGCCCCCGCTTGCCACAACTAGACAAAGCCTGCTCGCAGCGATGAAGACCCAACACAGCCAAAAATAAATAAAATAAATAAATAAAAATAAAAGTAATCTAGGCTTAGTTCTTAAAAACAAAAGTTGTAATATCAATAATCTGAACTCTTTTAATCAATGTTAAATAAAACATATCAGTCTAACGTCATCTTCTTCCAACCCAAGAACTTAGACATGGTGGTGCAAAAAATGAGAAAGATGATGAATCACCAGAGAAAAACTATTTTAATGCAATCAGCTTGCATGATATCATGTCTGACTAAGATATAAGAATGGAAGAGAGAGTTCCATTTTTCACTAATAATAAAAATAAACCTAAGATTAGTCAACTACCAAGTAGAACATAATGCTATTTTTTCGCCAATATTTTTATATTAAAGAAAAAAATCAAAGTTACATGGTGCATAGAGATCTTTTTAGAAAGATTTCCAAAAGCAGAATGAGAATTTTGATACTCTAAATTTTAAAGGAGTGATGTTTTATTTTAATGAAGTATAAAATCACTCATAGGAAAAACATTTTTTTCCAACTATGATTTTACTCTTTATTACTGAGGATATACCATGGCACATTTACATTGTTTTAAAAATTGTATTTATAATTTATTCTGATTTAATTATCTTTGTAGTTTCTATCTTTCAATTTATCTAATTTTTATTTTTTTTATTTTATTTTTAAAATGTTGAGCCTTCTTTTAATTTATTTATTTTTATTTTTGGCTGTGTTGGGTCTTTGTTTCTGTGTGAGGGCTTTCTCTAGTTGTGGCAAGCGGAGGCCACTCTTCATCGCAGTGCGCGGGCCTCTCACTGTCGTGGCCTCTCTTGTTGTGGAGCACAGGCTCCAGACGCGCAGGCTCAGTAGTTGTGGCTCACGGGCCTAGTTGCTCCGCGGCATGTGGGATCTTCCCAGACCAGGGCTCGAACCCGTGTCCCCTGCATTAGCAGGCAGATTCTCAACCATTGCGCCACAAGGGAAGCCCCCTAATTTTTATTTTTATGTCATGACATATTTTCTTTTATGTTTAACTGATTTTAATCTTTTTTTTTTTTTTTTTGCGGTACGCGGGCCTCTCACTGTTATGGCCTCTCCCTGTTATGGCCTCTCCCGTTGCGGAGCACAAGGTCCGGACGCGCAGGCTCAGCGGCCATGGCTCACGGGCCCAGCCGCTCCGCGGCATGTGGGATCCTCCCGGACCGGGGCACGAACCCGTGTCCCCTGCATCAGCAGGCGGACTGTCAACCACTGCGCCACCAGGGAAGCCCTGATTTTAATCTTTTTATTCCAGAGTTTAAAATCTGATTAAAGTTATCCTTCAGATATTTTCTTTATTTCTGTAATATTAATTATTTTAAATTTTACTTCTTTTATTTAGATTTTTTCATTTCACGATTTGTTTTCCTAGGAACAAGTAGGAATGGCAGCGATAGTGGAGGAAGCCCACAATACAAGTAAGGGTAGTTGAAAGCCTCTCCCCCACCAGTTTTCTCTAAAAACACCTTTCCAGCTACCCTCTAGCTGAGTGAATTGCCCAAGAATGGTACTGTGCTGCTGTGATGGGTAAGCTACTGTGCCCCACAGAGCCCATGAATGACAGAGATGGGGTTCACATAGGTCTCTATGACCCCAAGGGCTTCCCACTCTCCACTTGACTCATTGCTACCACACTGCCCCACCTGCCATATGCTTATCCTCATTTTGGGGGGGAAAAACGTATTCTTAATATTTCTTTTTTCTTTCTCCTCTTTTTCTGCCTTCCTATTCATGATTGTTCTCATATCCTTGACTTTCTTAGCAAAAAATATTGTGTTAATTATGTAAGATACTGGTTTGGTGGCAGTAAACCAACCAAATAACTAAATAAAAACCAATAAGAGAAGTTTGTATAAAACAGAAGTTAAAGTAAGCTTCTCTCCCACATAATTTCCAAGCACAAGTATGTGAGAGCATCATAGTGTCAAGGATCCAAATTTTTTACTTTGTTGCTCTGCCATCTCTAGGGTGCTTCCTTCATCCACGTTGTCCATGTGTATGTGCCAGGTAGCAGAATTAGTATTCATCAATTCTTTATTTTCCATTGGCCAGAAATCCGTGGAGAACAATTAGCAGGCAGAGCCACAGCTGTCTTC